CCAGGGGGGAGCGACTCCGCGCGGGCTCGTGTCCCTGAGGGACTTGAGCTGGCCCGCCCGTCGGCAATCCCCGGCGGGCATGCGGCCCCTGGGCGACGCAGCGCTTGGGGCTGGGAGCTGGCTGGCCCAGGGTCGAGTCTTGCCTCGCAGGACTCTGCTCGCCGTGGCTGACTTGTCCCAGGATGGCAATGGGGTTGCCGATGTCGACCAGGGCCTTGCCTGTCTGAGGGGAACTGGGTTTGGCCCTGCGACGTCGCCGAGCGTCGCGTCTGCACTGGGCTGGGCTACCTTTGCAGCCTGCGCCGCCCTCTCCACTGTCAACCTCGCTGTCGCCCTCGCAGCGGCCATCGCCGACGAGGAATGCGGGCTCGAAGTCGACGAGGATGCCGACGTGGATGGCATTGTCGATGCGGGGCTTGTTGCCTGTAGCTGTATCCCGTATGCTCTGCCGGCGTTGTTGCAGCCTGCGCCAGCTGCGTGCGCTGCTGCCCCATCGCATGGACAGGTACTGCAGTGGGCCTCCATCTGGTCAGGTGCTGCGCGGGCGCCGCTGACTCCCGCGCGGGTTTGTCGCTGCGCTGCGCTGCTAGGGGCGCCCCCTGACGCCTCGCGAGACTCGGAAGCTGATTGTGTGCGACTGGATGTGGCGCGCGGCGGGCGGCAGCCCGCCCCGCGAGACGGCGCCGCCCAGGGCCATGCATCGGGCCAAAAAAAATCACGCCGACGTTGTCTAGACGGCTATTCGACTGGCTGTCCAGAGACGCCGCGCTGTCATCTCCTGGGTGCGGGTAGCTGGCAGACGTGTGGCTGTAAACAAGGTGCTGCTGACGGCTATGTCGACCCACCTGCCTCCATGCGTCTGCAAGCTGTGCGCGCTGGAGGCCCCGGGCAGCTCGCCGATGACCAGGCGGCCCGCAGCCTGCGAGGCGATGCTCCTGAGCCACCTCCGTTCGCAGGTTAATTCTGTTGCGCAAGGCTTGGCCGTAGCCTTGGTCGCCAGAGCCCCCCCCCCCCCCCCCCCCCCCCCCACCACCACCACCGCCCTCATCGGGGGGGGAAGGTGCTCCGACAGACCGCGGTCCAGCCGACTCGCTGGCGGCTGCCGCCTCCTCATCGCGCCTCTTAGCTACCTGGCCTCTGAAGAAGCTGCCCTTGAAGATGGCATGGCGAGTTCCATCTGAGTCAACCCTGGCGCCCTTGGCCGCGGGCCACTCAGGCGCGTCGTCGAACTGAGCGCTGTCCTGAGCCTCGCGACCTTCAGAGCTCGTCTCGAGGGGGCGCCCTGCTGCTGGGTCTTCGCTGGCCTTGACAGCTGCGTCGGGCGCGAGGTCGCAATGGCCAGCCGCCTGCCTCCGCTGGGTTGTGAGTGGCTGGGTCGGGGACAAGGGCTCGGACGGTGGGTCTCCCGACATGGCAGCTCCCGTTTCCTGCGCTGGTGGCGTGCTCTGCTCGCCAGGGGGCCACGGCGAACTGGCCCTCGAGGTGGGCGCCAGGTCGGTCGCGCACTCTCCGTCGTCAGCGCTCGCCTGCTGAACGGCGTGTGTGTGTGTATGTGTGTGTGTGTGCGTGTGTGGGCGTGGGTGTGGGCGTGGGTGGGTGGGTGGGGGGGGGGGGGCAGGGGGCGGCTGCTCTGGGCGAGGACTGGCAGATGGACAGTCGGCCGGGGGCGGCTGCGCCGCGCCCTGCCCGAGCCCCTCGCACTGCTTGACCGCCGTCCTCGCTTCCTCTTCCACCAGGCTCGCCTGTGCCTGTGCCCTTCCTAACAATTCCTCCTCGCTGCCGCTGCACTCTTCGGGCTTAGCCGCTGGGGGCAGGCGAGCGCCCTCGGGGCTTGGTGACCTTTTTCCCGCCTGCTTGCGGTGGCATCGTCCTGAGCTGCCTCGCCGCCCGCCTTGCTCCTCCCAGGGGTGTGGGACCAGCTGGGAATTAGCAGTTCCGCTGTAGGCAGGGGAATGGCCGGGAAGGTGGGGGCCGAGCCGGTGGGGGCAACCACCGCTGCTGCCGCTTCGACAGCTGCCGCTACTTGCTGCTGCCGCTGCTGGCCGCGCTCATCTACGGCCGCCGGGAGCTCGCCATCGGAGCTCTGCGACCCGGGGACGTACCCCCATGCAGAGGGACGCGCGGTCTCTTTGGCGGTCTGATAGCCTTGCTGCTGGATCGACCTTCGTTGCCCATGCAGCTGGGAGTGCTCCTCCAGACACTTGACGGCGCGATGTAACCTGAACCTCGGACGCCACAGATTGCTTCTTCGCCGTGATCTCTTTCAGCTTGCCGTGGTAGCCCCGAGCGCATGCGAGGCTGATCTCTAGGGGCTGCCCGGTCACCGCGCCGCTATGATGCATCTGCTGGTTGGCAGCCTCCTCGAGATAGCCAGTCTGCCCCAGGCCCTGTGCACGGCGCTCCAGTGCTCGGCCCAACTCCTTGCTGAGCCAACTGTTCCCCTCGCTGAGGTCGAGGTGCTGCTCGGCAAGATGGGTATTGAATTATTCTGCCTCGCCCTTGAAGCTCTGGGCAAACAACTGTGACTCGTACGCCGCTGCCGCCTCCTGAGGCGCGCGCTGCTCCAAGCGCTGGGCAACGTCCTCCGAGGACTCACCCGCCCTCCACCGAGCCTTTTTGACCTCGGCCGCACGCTGAACTCTGGCCAGCTCCTCCAACTGAGCCGCGCGGGACTTCTCCCTCGCGCATATGTACTGCCGTATTTGCAGGATCTCGTCCCTGGCTGCTGCCACCTCCCCCCCGTGTCGGCACCTGACTGCGGCCTCCTCATGGTGCTTGGCGGACTCGTGCTGGGGGATCTCAACCTCGCCCTGCAGGCCGCTGGCCGCGGAGGCTGCAAGTCGCTGCTCGAAGATGCGGTTCTTGGCGACCAGGGCCGCCCGCCTCTGCATTCTCTCGCCCCAAATTCAAAGCTCCTTGGTGACCTCGTCCCGCACTTGGTTGCCTTGTCTCTCGAACTTTCGTGCTGCGACGGCCTCGTGCTCCTGGGCTGCCCTGAAGGCGATGGTTTCTCCTTGCATCAGCTCCTTCCTGGCTGCGAAGGCTGCCCCCGACTCCTCGTGCCTCTTTCTCGCACTCAGTTTCCAAGTGGATGGCGTTCTGCAGCTCAGACAGGAGGGCGTCCAGTATAGGGCCACTGGCCTTGCGCACCCGCGTCCTTGGCCCGAAGGGCCTCGGTTTCGGCATCCCCTGTCATCTGCCGGTGCGCCTTGGCTCCTTCCTCCACGATCATCTGCTGTTGCTCGCTCATGTTCTTGGCTAGCCTGCCCATTAGGAGGACCTGCTCTCGCAGCTCGCTGCGCGACAAGTCTTCCGCTCGGGCGTTGCTGGCCAGCTTCGCCTCCAGCTCGCTGTGGACCTCGCAACTGCTGGTGGCCTGTGCCTTGGCGGCATCCCTGATGCGGTGCACCTCCGCGGCGTGCTTCTCATTCTCGTGTTGGAACTCAACGACGCGCCTGCGGTTGGACGTGGCACCCGCGCCCGCGAAGGAGGAAGGTGACCCTGTCCTGGCGGTTGGGCCCCCTTGCTGCGGCGTTTGAAACGTAGGGCTGCCGCGGGGCAGCTGGGCCAGGCACGTCTCTGCGAGTTCCTTGCCCGCTGGAGGCGCAGGCGCCACTGCGCCACCGCCTCGCGGCACTCGCCACGGAAGAAATGGGCACAATGCCCGACCACAAATGTTGCCCCAAACCAACAGCGGCCTCTGTTGGACAGGCGGCCTTTTGTCTTAAACGTACACAGGTCGTGGCGACACCGACAGCGAGTCGTGTTCAAAATGAACAGGAGCCGCTGTTGGGCATTGTATCCATTCTGTCCGTACCCATTTCGCTCGTGCCGAGAAACGGCCGTCGTGCCTGCCCACTGCTGCACGGTGCTGCTGCTGCTGCTGCTGCTGCTGCTGCTGCTGCTGCTGCTGCCTCGGCGGCGTGTGGCTACAGGCGGTGAACGCATCTTTCCTCATCGCCTGCCATGGCCGACCGCAGCTGCAGAACCACGTGCTGTCGGACTGCTGCGTGCCGCAGACGTCGCATGTCCAGCCTCCCGCCGCTGGGGAAAGGCGTGGCCAGCTGGCCCTCCTCTCGCCGGCGCGTCGCCATGGCGCCCCTTCTCCAGCACTGGAGGCTGGAGCACCTCTGCTTCGCCTGCCGTCATCCTGACCAGCGCCGCGCCCTCGGTCGCCCTCCTTGGGCATCTCGATGCCTTGGGAGCGCTGGGCGCTGTGGTGCGCGGCGAGCCGCCACGCTGCGTCCGCGACGCGGAGCAGCACGCGGGCGCTCGCCCTCCTTTCCCTCCGCCGCCGATGCCAGGCGGGCTCGCCACTGGCTCGCGGCGTTGCGCCGCCTGGCGCACGACCTGGCGACGTGCCAGGCAGCGCGCTCGCCACCTCCGCGCAGGAGGCGGAGCCGAGGAGGGCCTCTGTGCCGTCTTAGTCGGCGGTGGACAAACCTCCCTGTAGTAGACCTCCCCTTAATGAAAGCGACCTGGGACCAAAAAGCGACAGACCTGGACCCGCAAAAATGACGGCCGCGGCGCCCTCTCGCGAACCGAAAACGGCCAATTCCTTAATCGGCATGTCAGGGTAGGAGGTCTGTCCACCCCCGTCTTGGGGCCCTCGGCCCCGCCTCGGCAGCACGGCGGGCGCGGCGGAGTGCCGCCTTCGCGGGGTGCGGCTGCAGCAGCCGCCGACCGCAGCCGCCGCGGCGCGCGGCCACGAGGGGCAAAGGGCGGGCCGACGACGACGACGACGACGGCCGGCCCCGCACTCCTCAGCCTGTGGCTTGAGCCAAAATGGCTACGGACTCCTGCTCCTGCTCCTCCTCCTCCTCCTCCTCCTCCTCCTTCTCCTCTTCCTCCTCCTCCTCCTCCTCCTCCTCCTCGGCGGAGGGAGGAGGAGGAATTCGCTGGAAGTCGCTGATGTCCACGCGGTGGCGGGAGGGAGGACGAGGACGGAGAAGGAGGAGGAGGAGGAGGCGGAGGACGGTGGAGAAGAAGAAGGGGAGAGGAGAGGAGGGAGGAGAAAGGAGGACGAGAAGGAGGGAAGCGAGGGATGATGGCAAGGAGTATGACCGAGGATCGAGGAGCTCGCTTGGAGCCCCCCTGAGACCTCGGAAGTGCGGGGCCGGCGCGAACAGCTAGAGAGATGGCCGCTCCTTCGCCGGTTTTGGGCCCCCCCGGCCGTCGGAAAGACCATCCAGCGCACAAGCCTGGTTCCTCGGAGGGGGTCGATAGGTTCGCGGGCCACATGTTGAACAACAAAAGACACAGGAGGAGGAGGAGGAGGAGGAGGAGGCGGAGCAGGAGGAGGAGGAGGAGGAGCAGGAGCAGGAGGAGGAGGAGGAGGAGCAGGAGGAGGAGGAGGAGGAGGAGCAGGAGGAGGAGGAGGAGGAGGCGGAGAAGGAGCAGCAGGAGGAGGAGGAGCAGAAGGAGGAGGAGGAGGAGGAGGCGGCGGAGGAGAAGCAGGAGGAGGAGGAGTGGAAGAGGGAGGGACCGAGGGGCCGACTTGCCAAGACGAGGCCTCCGTGGCCCTGGCTCCCATTGCTCGTGGCTGACGGCTGCAGCTTTTGGAGCCACGTGGGCTCCATGCAGCTCGGCGTCGACCTTCTGGCTGGCGGTCGCGACGTCTCGGGGAACTTGGGAGTGGTACTAATGGCGGGTCAGTTTCAAGGAGGCGGCATCCGTAAAAGAAACAAGCGAATCATACACATAAACTTTTGGCGCTCCGCGCGGATTTCTTGGATCTGCGCTGGACCCCCCCTCCCTGGCGCGCGGAGCGCGCCAGGGGCGGCGCCGGAAGTGCCGCCGGGGGGCCCCAGCGCGGATCCAAGAAATTCGCGCGGAGCGCCAAAAGCTTGTGTTCATGGCGTTTCGTTTGTTCTTCGCGAAGCGACTCTTGTAGGTACAGTGGAGGCCAATCCAGAAGAACCCTTCCACAAGAAACCTGGCCCTCAGACCCCGGGACGCCCATCGATTTTCGATGTGGGAGCGTCACGCTCTCCGTGGCAAAACCATCGAAACCCAAGAGACCCAGGGCACCCTGGAGCCCAGACCCCCGACGTCATGATTTTTTCGTAACGTCGACCCTCAAGGGTCTCGACCCATTCCCATGGACCCGTTTTTCATGCTGAGTTGTTTTTTGACGGTCCCGAGGCCCGGCAAGGGCCCCCAGAGGCGAAAATATGTGAAAACCTCCCGTCGTGATTTCTTCATTCCCCGATGGGGGTCTGGGAGGTAAGCAGGGCGTTTCTTGGCATGGGCCTCCACTGTAACGATGCAGGCATCCCTCGCGCTGGCACCGCTGGTGAGCCACGAGCGCATGGCTTTGGTTGGCCCAAAAGGGGGTCCAGCTGAAAGGGGGTGGTGCAAAATATTTGGGGCAATTGTATTGCAAATGTATGTGCCAGAGAATTAGATTTTATGTTACTGCAGCTAATGCGTTGCACTCGAAGATCAAGCACTACATGTGTGCACTGGAATGTATTGCGCGCCCCAAATCTATTGCAACCCCGCAAATCTACAGTGCGGCCGCGGCCGCAAAAATCCCTCGCAAAAAAACCCAACCCTGAAAACCCGCGCGCGGGGTGCACCTGAGGAGAAACCCAGAGCACCCTGAACGCAGCAGCTTCTGCAACGGCTGCGGGAAGTCACAGCGCAGCGTGTGGAGCGAAGAAACCCAGGGCACCCTGACGCAAAGCAGATGGTTTCTTGCTGCGCGCCCCCACTGTATTGCACTAAATCTATTGCACCATCCCCTTTTCGCTGGACCCCCTCTTGGCTCAAGCAGAATGGCAGCGGCAGGTGCGCGGGCCGCGGACGCCTCGCGCCGGCTCGCTGGCACCGGCGACGGCTGCGGGCGCCGCGGCACTGCGATGAGACGGCGCTGCAGTGGAGGCCAGTCCACAAGAAACCTTCCACAAGAACTTCAGGGGCAACGTCAGGAGGAGGAGGAAGAGGAGGAGGAGGAGCCGCGGCAGGCCAGTCCACAAGAAACCTTGCACAAGAACGTCAGGGGCAACGTCACGAGGAGGAGATAGGGGAGGAGGAGATTGTTGGTTCTTGAGCTGGAGCCCGCCTCCAGAGAACCACCAGCGACCTGGAGTCGGCGATACCTCGCCGAAAGATCGGCGACAGGCCCCCGACAGCACACTTGTCGGTGATCCATGGGCGGTTGGCTGTCGATGCGTCCCCCTTCCCTTTCTGGAATTATGTTATTCCTATCGTACTTAAGGACCACATCACAGGAAGAATTTCGGGCACCGGGGAAAGTGTCGAACGAGTGTCGAAACAGTGTCGGACGAGTGTCTCCCAGGGCCCGACACGTGAAAACCATAGAGTTTCTGGTGGTCAAAGCTGAAATAGGTTGGAGCATCATAATTCTGGAGCCTCTCCCCCCTCCGTACAGTGAAGGCCAGCCCACAAGAAACCTTCCACAAGAAAGCCAACCCTGAGACCCCAGGACGCCCATCGATGTTTGGTGTGGGGATGTCGCCCTTTCCTTAGCAAAAGCCATCGAGACCCAAGAAACCCAAGGCACCCTGGGGGGCAAGAAGGGTGTTTCTTGGAATGGGTTCCCAATGGAAAATTAGGTCGGGCATGTCCTCCTACACACGTTTTTCGACGACAAGCAAAACAGATGCAAGACATGCACAACAATAACCCCAAAAAGTTAAAATGTCGTCCCACAATGATTTTTGGACTATGTTTGAATCTTGTTGAGGGACCGACTTAACTGGTCGTTGCCAGAGGCCGGGGGGTCTGCGTCGTTCGGCGCGACAAAGGCTTCAGCGATGGCGGCAACTTCTTCGAATCGGTATCACCATCCTCCGTCTACAGCGGCCCCCCTCCTCATCTTCACCCGTCCAGCTCCTTCACCTCCCATTCCTCGTCGTCGTCGGTTTCCTCCCTCTCCTCCTCCTCCTCCTCCTCATCCTCCTCCTCCTCCTTCTCCTCCTCCCACCCCCCGCCGGGCCCTCCCAGAAACCCCATGGCACCCTGACGAACGGCAAATGGTTTCTTGGTGCGCTGCGCGCCTCCACTGTACGTTGCTTGACTTGAGCGCTCCATTTCGGACAGTGGCTCTCCCGTGCCTGCGGCGCAGCTCCTGGCGGAGACCTGCGCCACGAGCATCGTGCGCGGCAGCCTCACGCTCTGACACTTTAGCACACGACACTGGCGGCCGGGCAAACACCACCAACAACAAAGACAACAACGACAACAACAACTACACCAACAACACCAACAACAGCAGCAGCAACAGCAACAACAGCAACAGCAACAACACCACCACCAACAACAACAGCACCAACGACAGCAACAACACCACCACCAACAACATCAGCAACAACACCAGCAATAACATCAACACCACCAACATCAACAACAACAACAACAGCAGCAGCAACAACAACAACAACCACAACAACACCAGCAACAACAACAACAACAACAACAACAACAACAACAATCATTTTACCCGAACGCTCAGTGTTCTCCCCAGTGCCAGGGTTTTCATGCGACGCCAGCCAATACCCCCACTTCGTGGGGGGGCAATGCAAGCTCTACCAAACATCCACACGACTCTCGGGAACCACCCACACCCAGCTTCCCGCCCTATGACGTCAGGACACTTCACTTCGTGGCGCGCGGACGATCGTGGATACTACACTGGCGTGGAGTACACACCCGCAGAGGTTGATCACTTGTTTGGGCCCCGCATGTGCCCCGCATCGTGCATTTGTTGCGCATGACATAGAGAGAGCAAGACAGAGAGAGAGAGAGCAAGACAGAGAGACAGAGAGAGAGAGAGAGAGCAAGACAGAGAGCCAGAGGAGAGAGAGATAGAAAGAGATTCGTCACATGTGTGAGGCAACCTGAGAAGATGTGGTACACGGTACACGTGAGATGGTACGCACTGCCAAGATAGTTGGTCACATTTTTGGGGCAATTTCCTGGGAAGGCGATGAAGCAGAGAAAGAGCGAGATAGATGTGTTACGTATGATAGATATGAAGCAGAGAAAGAGCGAGAGACAGAGAGAAGGAGAGAGAGGAGTCGGTCACATCTTTAGGGCAACTTCCTGAGGGATGTGGGAGGACACAAGAGAGAAGGTATCGTTGTCCCGATGGTTGTCTCGATGGTTGCCCCGATGGTTGTCCTGATGGTTTTGGTTGTCCCGATCGTTTTCCCGATGCTGGTCCAAATGGTTGTCCCGATGGTTGTCCCGATGGTTGTCCCGATGGCTGTCCGTCTGCGATGCAATGTTGTCTGTTTCTGCTGTTATACAGTCCCAAGGATGACGCATGCAATGCTCATACTTTCTCCTGCTTTCGCAAACAGGTCCAGTCACACTATGAATATACACGAAGCATACTAAGGCGACTCGTCCTCTGCGACGTCGCGAATACGCTTGGGTACACGGCTGCCTGGCTGATGCAGGTGCGGGCCTGGCTGATACCCGTGCGCTCCCAAATGGCCAATGATATTGCCGATGCGCCTGCTGGCGGGAGAGCCGGGGCTCGCATGCGGCAGTGCGAACGCGGCCACGACATGCGCCGGCAAGAGCGGGTAATCGAGCATGTTCGGATACTCGTCGCTCTGACCAAAAGACCGCCATACGGGCAACCACCACCACTGGTCTTGACGCGGATACTTTATCTCTGGGCCGACCTCAGGGGATACGTTCCAAATGGCCATTTTCTGCGGGTCCGTACCCATGAAGGCCGCGTGATACGCAATGAATACGTCCAAGGTGGCGAGGGCCCTGTAGGAGAGGCCGGATACGATCTCCGCGTGAATGGGAATACCGAGCTGACCGAGCAAATACCGCATACTGCTATACACCCACTGGCCCGGGTGGACGAAGAGGTGGGCTTTCCAGGCGACGATACCTCGCCCGGTGCATAGCGTGTCGAATACGTGCAGAAGGAAGCCAATGGGCTTCCCAAGCCTCTCATCCTGGAATACCGAGAAATTCCCGAATACCGCGTGCGCGTAGAAGAAGGCGTCGAAGTAAACCCACTCCGGCTCGGGGATGCCCCCCATACTGTGCTGGTAGTTCGGGTCGTTGTTCGTCTTCGACTGCCTCGTGGACATACCGCTCGATACGGCGAGGCATACGCCCTTGACACCCTCCCACACAATAGGGAAGAAGATACCGCACGCGAACCACCTCTCCGAGCCACACTGCTTGAGCCATTGCCACGCATACGCCTCGTCGTTGGGTGGCGTGTGCCAGCGCTCCATACTGTAGCGCACTTCATCATCGCTTGGGTAATACTCGCCCGTCACGGGGTCGAGCCGACCGGCCATCTGGGAAGCCATACGGAAGGCCGGCAATATGGAAGTGAATACGATCTCGCGATATACAGTAAGCGGCTTGAGCAGAAACCGCTACGTACAAACAGAAACGAACCGCATACATGTGCCCAAATGCCAAAGTCCATACGACCGCACACGCAGAACACTCATGCGAGCGCCGTCGGCAAGACGAAGTCCGCCGCCGCACATGCGGCCAGAGCAGACATACTCACTTCATCTTTTCATTTGAATCCACAGGCCTCATAGACTTCCCCTGGGAACCCCCCAGACGCCCTCATAAACTTCCCCTGGGAATCGGGTCACAGACACTAAGACAATCGGGCCCTGGGACCCCCCCAACTGTCGGAGCGCCCCGCATAATTTAAAAACTGTATTATACTCGATGCCCAGGTGGCGGATGGCAGAGCCGTGATGCTCCTCCAGCTCCGTGGCGCTAGAAATACTGACCGTGCCAGGCACAACCCGATACTTGCACCACCAAAGCTTGCACGCCTGGTGACTGACCTGGATACCCTTTGCAACGAGCGCCTGATGCAAATAATACGGGCTGCCGCAGTCAGCCAAGGGAGGCCGCGACAGCTCTGGGCCATACTGGTCGTCAAGGGCTTTCGCCGACAAAGCCATGACCCAGCCAAGAACACAGGCGATACCTTGATCCGAGATGGCTACGGATGTGACAGTGATCAGTCGGAGGCTTCCTGGGGCCGCTTGGGGTCCTCTTGGGGTAGGGGGGAAGCCTCCTGAAGCCGCTTGGGGTCCTCTTAAGCTTTGGGGGGCTTCTTGGAAGCATCTTGGGGCCTCTTGGGAGCTTATTGGGTCCTCACGGCGGGCTCTTGAGGCCTCTTGAAGGCCTCCTGGGGCAACGTATGCGCGCAACCAGTAGGGAGCGTTTTATTCTCGTCGGCAATGGCGCATACCTATGGGCGCACACCTTAATGAGGAAGGTGCGTTTTATTGCTCGGCGGCGCGAGGGCTCCACCTATGGCGCAATCCGCAAGGGATTACGGCCTTGCGTCTTGGCAGGGCGCGCGAACCTCCAAGAGGCGAACGACCCGTTTTTTCAATGTGGCTAAGTAGCTCGGCGCCCGTATTATGTAACATAGAATGTTGGAGAATATCCGCTTGGTTTTTTGAGGATTCGGATAGCGCGCGCGGGTGGAAATTTTGAAAAGTCGTGCAGCTGTTTTTCGAGGACCTACGGTGCGATTCGTGTGATTTTATGATGCGCGGTGGTAAAATTCTTAAAAACCCAATGGTTTTTGTAGATTTCGGCGTGCGCGCGCGAAGAAAAAACGAATGTGTCCCGCATGGTATTATTATTTGACAGGGATGATGGCCCTGGCAGGTGCGCAACCGTTGTCGCAGAAGTTCGAAAAAGTTGCTCGCAAAAGCCCGTTTGACAGAAATGTTTAAAAAGTGATGGTTTTCCTACGAATCCGCAAGAGCGCGCGGGATGAGATTTTGACAATTTTTTATTTAAAAAACCATTGGGTTTTTAATGTTTTTATGTTGAAATCGCTCCGAAACCTAAGG